AAGCTCTTGAGTCGTCTGTATGCGCTGCCGATCGATGCCACCTTGGATTTGATTTCCTTATGGACATGTATCTTAGGCTGGACAAACTCATGTAACTCTGTGATCGGTTTCTCGAGTCGTGCCCATGAGTAACGACATTCTGTCACGTGTTGAGTCTGTGACTCATCTCTCCTTGTAACATCTGAGGCCAAGAAGTCCGCCTTTGAGAAATGTGATGGTTGGCTCTTCTTACAATCCATGGAGCCAGCACCGGCCACCGGGGCTCTCACCCGATCAGAACCGATGACGGGATTTCCCTTTTGACGGCTACCCGTATGGGATAATATCGTATTCTTATCACTGTTCATTATGTCTTGCGGGCTATCATAGGGAGCCCTCTCTGCACACCTCCTTTTTCAATAGAGTTGGGCTTCTCTAAGGTGTTGGTTCGCGCCGACGCATTTTATTCGGTCGATACCCTCTGTTCCGTAGTTCGGAACATCGAGCATCCCCCGATCCACCACCTGGGGACGCGCCACGTTGCAGTACCTTCCAGCCTGCGAAAGCTCTCAGGAAGTAAAGGCGTTCCTGGCTGAGAGGATCCGTGGATCCGTGGTGTATGTATGTATGTATGTGTTTTTTTAGGTTTAGGAGAATCTTTGAAAGATTCTGGTAAAGTGAAGGTAAACATCCAGATCTGGGATTTTTACCCAGTAAACCCCCGTTTTCCTCTTTTCTCTGACCCCATACTCCCCCCCACGGAACCACAATTAGGCATTACTTCGCAGGGGTGGTCTCAGCCGCAGCTCTCCCATCAGGTGGTTGAAGACAATGCTTCTTTCCTCTCGGATGTTCTCATTAGTTCCCCCTGGCCTGCTCCTCGCTTCGAAGTTCTTTCAGAACTTCGGCTGCGAACGTGCTCGTGGCATCCCACGCTACTTTCGATGAAATCATGACTTTCACCAGATCTTCAGGTGGGACTCACTGTTCCACTGCAGTCTCCTAAGTACTGCGAATCCCTGCGAAGCATCTGCACCTGAAGAACACGTGCTCCGCATCTTCTCCTTCTCCACTGCATGTCGGCCACCGCGGGATCTTTTCATATTTGAATTTATGAAGATATTTCCGGAAGTGTCCTGAGAGCATCTGCATCAGACAGTAGTTGACCTCTCCGTGGGGACGGTTCAGTCAAACATCTAACTGTGGTATTAGATGGTAAGTCCACCTTCCTCTCGTTGAGGTGTCCCACAACACCTGCCATCGGCCGATGCTGTTTCATCTCTCCTCTTCCCTGAGATCTTTTGGGCTCAATGTAGTGTACCTTCTCCGCCGGTAAGGGCATCTCCGCTCTTCAGCCAATACTTCGATGGGCAGCATTTCGGCGATCACACAAACTGCATCTTCCGACACTGTGCGGTACGCGCTAGCAAGCCTCAGGGCGCTCTGCCGATAGACGGGAGCGATCTTACGCCCAGATTCCTGGAACTGGAGCGCATCGGCCCAGATGGGAATCCCATAAGTCATCACTGACGTCACCACCGCGAACAGCAGCGCTCTTCTTTTTTGTTTGGGACCTCCAATGTTTGGCATGAGGCGGGATTAAAGTGTTCGAACCCCTGAGGCCTTGGTTGGCATGTGGTTCACCTGCTGCTTGAAGTTCAAGCGGGTATCAATACTCACCCCCAGATACCGAATGAACGGTTGGGAAGTGAGTTCATAATCCCCAACTTTCAGCGTGATTATCTCAACTTTTTTCCGGCTAGTAATCAGCACGGCCTCCGTTTTGTGTTCTGCCAGTGTCAGCCCCACTGTGTCCAACCACCGACGTATCTCCTCAAAGATTAGGTCAAATGTGAGCTGGATCTCCTCCAGGTGTTCCGCCACAATCACCACAGCATCGTCGTCCGCCAATGCCACAAGCCTCGCGTTATTTGGCAGCGTCAGCTTCAAGAGTCCGTCATACATGATATTCCACAGCAGTGGACCCAGCACAGAGCCCTGAGGAACTCCCCGGGGACTCTGTACTCTTTGGGACCAGTCTGCGTGTCCTATTTGAGGATTATGTCGGTGAAATAGCTCCTGACCAATTTCTGCAGGTGCACATGAAAAGCCTCAAGAGCCCTCATGATGCAATCCCACCTGGCAGAGTTGAAGGCGTTCTTGATGTCTAGTGTTGTCACCAGACAGTACTTCTTTGTGCCCCCTCGCCATCGGGTTTCCGAAATTGCATCCTTGGCTGTATTGACGACGACGTCAATAGCATCCAGGATGGAGTGATTCATTCGGAAGCCATGTTGTTCATCAGCAAGCAGCGGGTCGACTACTGCTTCGATCCTCCAATGAGCGATTCGCTCAAGGATCTTCTCGGCTGTTTCCAACATGCAGAGTGGACGATAAGATGATGGCTCGTCTGTCGGCCCTTTCGGGAGAAGCACTAGCCTCTGCTGCTTCCACTTCCGAGGGAAGTAACCTTCAGTTATGCATGCATTGTAAACATCCNTCGGCTGTTTCCAACATGCAGAGTGGACGAGAAGATGATGGCTCGTCTGTCGGCCCTTTCGGGAGAAGCACTAGCCTCTGCTGCTTCCACTTCCGAGGGAAGTAACCTTCAGTTATGCATGCATTGTAAACATCCAAAAACAGCGCTGGCACTGCCTTAATGGCTGCTTTCAGCGCAATGTTTGGTATACTATCTGGACCAGGAGCTTTGGTATTGCCTACTCTACCGCATGCTTCCATCAGTTCATCTTCTGTGATAGGCGGGATGGCCTCCACCTCACATTGTCTTGGTAGCCGGTTGAGCTCTCTTTGTTGAACAGCACCGGGACGATCTTCTCCAGGAGCTGGGGACATGTCGGTGAGGGCATCGGCTGACTTCTCAGCCGGGACATCACGACCTTATAGGGCCTTCCCCATGTATCATTCTCAACTCCATCCACTAGCTCTTTCCAGCCTTGCCTCTTGCTTCACTTGATTGCCTTATTCAGTTTTCGGCGCGCACTCTTGTATTGGGCCTCCAGTTCTTCGGAGTTTGGGCTTTTCCTGCTACGTTGTGATAACCTCCTCTCCCTGAGGCACTCCTTACGGAGGATAGCGATTCGATCATTCCACCAGTGTACCGGTGGGAGCCGGCTTTGCGTACGCTTTCGAGGCACGCTAGCATCGCAAGCGTCCGTGTCTCCTCATGATCTCGCTGGCCTTCTCCATGGCATTTCTGGCATGGCATTTCATCGATTGGGCGAGCGTCCAGCACAACCAAAAACGTGTCAGGGTCCAAGTTGCTAAACTTCCAGCCAATTGTATTGGTTTTCGGGCATGCTTCTCCAACCCTCTGAACCGTCGATACCACCCATAGTATTGCACTGTGGTCACTGGTTGTGTAGATGTCCGCCACTTTCCAGGAGTAATCGAGGACCACGAGGCCACTGCTCATAAAGTCAGGTCCACAATCGAACTTGCCTCTCCAAGCATGAATGTTGGTTTTTCACCACTATTGAGGAAAACTACATCTATGGTTGACATAGTCTCCACTAGTGCTAGTGGTGGTATCTATTTCCCAGTGTTGTGTGGCCAGGCGTCTATATGGCTCCAAGATCAGCGCCAAGTCTATTTCCAGCTCACGCACAGTCTGCATAAGCAGATCATGTGCGGCCTCACAGCGATTGAGGTTCAGCTGGAGTACCCTCATCGTCGTTTGTTGCACATCGTCTGGTATGCTTCCCTGTAGACCGGGCATCTGCTGCTGCCAGCTACATGGGCATGATTTTTCACGTTCCCGTTCTCAACGCACAGAGCGCATCGGGTATCCTTCCGGCAGTTAGCAGACTTATGGCCCCTTTCTCTGCACCTGGTACAGAGTTTTGCTCGGTCTGCTGTGTTCGTGAATCTAGTGGCCAGGTGTCCATAGTGCCAGCACTTGAAGCACTTTACAGGTCTCTCCACCCTTCTTATCCGGCAATTGGTCCACTCTATGCGGATCTTACCGTGCTTACCTACGAGCTTCGCAGCCACCGTTGTTGTCAGCTCTACCGAAGCAGTTTCAGTGCCCCTGTATGCTTTGCGCAGCGACTTGATAGCACCAAGGGCTATGTCGCATCACTCCCTGGCTGCTTTTTGGAGTACTGCAAGAACTTCTTCCTTGGTCGTCGTCTCCTCAGTGTCCCTCAAGCTCTTCTTGGAGCCTTTTACTGAGGACTTCGGCATCATCCCCGAGGACATCAGTTATGGCCTTCTGTAGGCCCTGTCCTTTATCCGCTGTATCCTTTGTCAGGATAATCACCAGATATCCAGTGGTTGTTCTCCTGATTTTCTCAACACAGGCGGTGGTCTACTCGGCGGAGACATTCTTCTTCACCCGCCGTAGCATGTGCGCATACTTCGTTTTGTCCTTGGGGCGGAAAATCAGCGCATCAGATCTTGTCGCTGTTTTTATGACGTCTTCTTCTGCTACTGTGGTTTCTTCGGAGGCTGCGCTTTGCCTCGCTCCCCCTTCTTTCTCCCTCTCGCAGTCTGCCAATCCGTGTCCCTGGCAGTCTGCTCTGCATCAGTTCTCGTTGGAGGAGTTGGCCCTCCTGCCTTCGGCTTCTTCGGGGCCTTATTCTCGAGGCATGGTGAAGTTCGCTACCGCCGTTTGGCTCTGCGAGTGTCCCGGCTGTCCCCAGTGGTCGACCCCCCGTCGTCAGTCACTTCCGTGTCATGGGCAGACGTTTCGGTGACATAACGCTCTCGCACTGATACAGGCGTTCTCAAGGTTTGTGCAAATGAGGTAGTCGGAGGTTGCTGTGTTGCCTGCCTGTCCACCAGCTCCTTCAGCCTTCTGAAGGAGGGCTCAGATCACAAGGACCAATACCGACTAAACGCCAATCAGACTAATTCACTAACCTTTCAATCCCCTCGCGGCATCACCGTTAAGTATTACTTCGCGAGGGAGGTCTCAGCTATTTGCTCTTCCACGCTGTTTGTATCTAGTGTACGTCCACCTGTCCCGCTGAGATGATGGTTGCGGGGAGGAGGTTTCTCATCTATGCCAGAGGCTTGCGTTTGGGTTCCTCATTTCTGAGCTCCTTCATGACTTCGGCTGCCAAGTTACTCGTTGCGTCCCAGGCCGCCTGTGATGACAAGAGAATTTCCATCAAGTTCTCAGGCAAAACCTGCCTCCCAAGTGTGGACTCCCAGGTATTCTGTAACTCGGTGAAGCGTGGGCATATGAAAAAAACGTGTTCCGCGTCCTCATGTACTGCTGTGCAGGTCGGGCACAGCGGGGAACCCTCATGTTTGTGTTTATGAAGATAAGCCCTGAAGCATCCATGTCCCGACAGCATCTGTGTGAGATAATAGTTGACCTCTCCATGGTCACGATCCGACCAGACATACACCTTCGGAATCAGATGATGAGTCCATCTCCCTTTGGTAGAATTGTCCCATTTCAGTTGCCATTGCCTCAAGCTGTTTCGCCTCTCTTCTGTGGCCAATTCTTCGGGGCTCAGCGTTTCTGATTCCTTCCGCTGGTACAGGGATCTTCGCTCCACAGCTAGTACCTCTATCTGTTACATTCCTGCGATGACACACACTGCGTCCTCAGACAGCGTTCGGTGTACACTCGTGGCTCTCAGGGTACTCAGCCGATAGACTGGTGCAATCCTACGCCATGCTTCTTGCAACTGGAGTACGTCAGCTCAAATGAGAATGCCATACGTATGTATGTATATGTATGTGTACTTTTTTTCGATGTTTTTTTTGCAATTTTCTTTATAAGAGCTTGATGAAATTCCATGAATTTTTCCATGGATACAGACGTGAATAGGCTCTATTCATCGACACCAAGTTGATTAAAGTTGAATTATTCATCGAGTTTGTGAAATATTGGTATTTTTTCAAAAATCGATTTTTCGACGCTTAGTCCAAGAATTGTTATCAGAATGAAATGAATCATGGCTTAAAAAATTTGTATTGATAGCCTCTTGATTTTATCAGAATATGATGCGGATCGCATCGATCATGGTTGAGCTACAGCATATAGTTTGTGAGATTTTTCTTCATTTTTTTTTCATGACAAACTGGAAAAATTAACAGTCATATCAATGAAATCATTGCTCAAAAAGATTGTTTTGATGCTTTTTCGATGACATGCAAAGATGAAAACAGCATAACTATTTATTAAGTTCCATATTTGCAATACGAAGCGTTAGGTCATATGGAGGTCATATGGGGAGCATATGGGGGTCATATGAGGGTCATATATGGGCTATATGGTGTCATAAAAGTTGTACGAGGTCCTGTGGGGATTATATGAGATCATTTGGAAATTATCTGAGTTTATATGGTGTCATAATGGGCTCTTATGGGATGATACAGGGTCATATGGCATTATATGGAGGTTATATCGGGTTATATGGAGTCATATTATATATAGGCGTTAAATGAGAGCCATATGGAGTCATATGATGTTCTGTGGGGTCATACGGGATTATATACAGTGATACGTAGTCATGTGGGGCCACATATAGATGTCACATGGAGCCAGATGGGGTCCTATGGGTTTTCTATGGACTCATAAAAGGTACTATAGGAATCATAAGAGAGTCATATGGGTGTCGCTTTTCAAAACAATAACAAATAAGAGTAATAAATTTCGAAAATAGAGAATCCATTCGGAAGCATATTGCTAATTTGTTAGTAACATAAACTATACCCATATACAGAAAATGCGACTATCCACTTGTGTTTTTTTTTCAAAATACTACCCTCACTACCACCTATCGAGATAAATCAAAATGTGAATACCCGTCCATATAAAGTTTCCGAGATATTCACGGTTTTCAATTTTTTTCATCTCATAGTGAATTTGACGTGCCGTAATCCGCGTAAAAGTTTCAATGAACCCCATAAAATTTTGGCTACTAATCAGTATTATCGGCTCTCACTTGTGAATACAATTTTGGGTCGATCGATTCGATACATTATGACATAGAGCAATTTATCTAAAAATCAGTTTTTTCTCTAAAATGACACATCGTCACTTTTTCGATGATTTTTGCATCTCGATGATTAAAAAAGTCATTCAACATTAAATTATGCTCAATTCTATATATATATTTCTTTATTTGGTTCCCCTAGGGGATACAAAGAACTTCCATTCCCCCCCGTACATACACATTATAATTTCTTTTCTAAAGCTATTACTAATAATATAATCTACTATTTACATTTCTTAATCTTATCAACTTATAACTACTATGTACAACTTAACCTACTGGACTGAAAGCGAGTGTTGATTGAGAAAACAAGTGCGACAGTGAGCCTCAGCGTGAGAGAGCGAGTGCAAGTGCGAGTGTCCCCCGCTTCCGGTCTCCGATGTTCCTCTGATTCTTCCAGAGCCCTATTCTCTTTTCATCCTCTCCTATCTCTCCCTGAGACCCTTCCCACAGCACCCCCCTCCCCTGCACACATCCGCGCTACCACACATCCCCCCTCACTCATTCACTGCCATTACCCCCTCCTTCTCCCATTCTATTATCCACCTTTCACCCTCTCCCTTTTCGTCCAGAATCTTCCGTACTTTGTCCCACTCACTCCTTTCTTCTCCCTCCTGATTTCTACACACCTCCAAAACGTGCGTCCATGTTTTCTCCCTCGCATGACATCTCCTACATATTTTCCTTTCCTCCTTCTCCCGTTCTCTCTCGCCTCTCATTCCATCGCCTAACCCGTATCTAGCCAGTCTGTTCCACCTTTCCTCCCCCCATTCTTTTTCCAGATATTCCGGGATCCCTTCTGATCCTACACCCTTATAGCACCTATTCGAGGTTGACTTCACTATCCTTCCCCATCTTTCTTTTCTCTGCCTCTCCCTATCCATCTTCTCCACTTCTTCAAAACTTACCCTCCCACACCCCCCTTCCCCCTTTCTCTCCATCAAACCGAACAGCCCCCTCTCCTCCCTGAACCTCCTCCTCTTCTCCTCCCATTTTGAGACTCCCTTCTTGGTCTCCCTTCTCTCTATTTCGCTCAGACAGATCCTCGCGATGCTACTTCCCTCTCCCCGTCTCAGCTTCTCCTCAAAATTCCACGCCCTCTTCGCCGCTCTTGTCCTCAGTTTATCCCTCTTCAATTCCTCCCTAACTAGGTATCCCGGCGTCCCCTTTCCTAGACCTAGTACCCATCTCATGTACCTCTCCTGCATCCTCTCTACCCCATCCATTTCCTTCCACTCCCAAATCTCCGCCCCGTACCCCATGACCGACCACACCAGCGTATCAAATAGCCAAATCCTCTTCTTCTAATCCCTCTTGAGTCTTCTTTTCCCTATCCCCCACGCCGGCCCCATAACCTTCCCCGCCTTTTCAATCCTACTCTTCACCTGCCTTTCCTGTCTCCCATTCCTCTGAAACCAATACCTCAGGTAACAGAATTCCCTTACCTCCTCCACCTCCCTCCCCGCCATCACCCATTTCCCTTCCTTCCCCTTTCCACCATCGAACACCATTACCTTTGATTTCTCCGCATTAATCGTCAACTCCTTCCTCTTCATATATTCTCCCATAAATCCCATCATCATCCTCATCCCCGCTTCATCCTCCGCTAACATGACCATATCGTCTGCATACGCCAGCGAAAAGATTTTCGTCGCTCCCAACGGTACTCCTCCCTTCCACCTCTTCCTCAGTTCCTCCTCCAGATTCGGCAGCAACATGTTGAATAAGATCGGGCTCAGCGGACAAGGGTGTCCCCTTGCCTAACCCCCCTCGCTGTCCAGAACTTCCCAGATACCTTATCCCCTACCCTAACCTTGCTCGCCGTCTCCCTGTAAATCTCCTTCACACTCTCCGTTAACCCTTCCGAAATCCCTCTGTCCCTCATCACCTGCCATAACACTTTCCTGCTCACTGAGTCGAAAGCCGCCTTCAAATAAACGAAACACGCCACCAACTTTCACCCCTTCTCCCCCACCTGCCTATTCACCAGGTAGTTGAGCATGAAGATATTATCTATCGTGCCCATCCCTCTCCTGAAACCCGTTTGGTTATCCGGCACCATCTCCTTTTCCTCCACTTCCCTCTCTAATCCCTTTGTCAACACTGACGCATACACCTTGTACAGTGTTTGCATCAGTGTGACCCCCCTGTACTCCTCCACCCTCTTGCCCTCCCCTTTCTTTACTATTGGGGCCAGCAGCCCATCTTTCTACTCTGCCGGCCAACCTCCACCCTTCCAGACACCATTACATATCCTCCACGCTACCCTTTTCATCCCGTCTTCCCCTTCTTTCCAGATCTCATTCTCTATCTCATCCTCTCCTGTCGCCTTTCCCCCTTTCAGCTTCTTTATCACCACTTCCACCTCCTCGTATGATAAACCGTCCCCTCCCTCATCCCATCCACCCCTCCTACTTTCCCCTAACACTCTCCATTCTATTTCTCCTAACAGCCTCATAAAATAGTCCTTCCATTCCTCCAACCCGATACTTTCGTTTACCTTCTTCTTTGTTTTCCTCTCCCTATTCACAACCTCTCACACTCTTCCCTCCTCAACTGCCCTCCCCACCTTCGCTTCAAACTTTGCCCACTCCTCCTCTTTCTTCGTCAGACATAGCTTATTATAATCCCTTTTCCTAACCCTATAATCATCCCTCGACACTTTCCCTTTCCTCGCCTGCCTGAGAGTCCTTCTCACCTCCTTCTTATTCTCCTGGCACCCCACGTCCCACCAGTCTTCCCAACGCTTCCCTTTCCTTTTCATCTCGCTCTCTATCCTACTTTTGATCTCCTTCACTTACTTCCTTCACCATCTCATCCACCGAACCCTCCCCCCATTCCACCTTCTCTAATTCTCTTCTCAGTTTTTCTCTCTCCTCTCTCTCCCAGAAAGATACCTTGGGTGACTTTCTACTTCGCTTCGTTCTGGGTCCCCCTGCCCTCCTAGACTCCTCTCCTTTCACCGTTACCACCAATGGGAAGTGATCCGCATCACATTCCTCTCCCACCACCATACTTTCCACTATTCCCCTCCCCCTATCATCCGTCAGTACGTAGTCTATGACCATCCTATTTACTCCTTCCTCTCTTGTGAATTCTCCCTCCTCATCCCCCTTGTGGTTTCCATTCAAAATCGTCCATCCCGTTTCGCCCAGCGCTTTCACCAGCATTTTTCCCTCTTTATCCACCTTCCTCTTATCCTTAGACCTTCTTGACTCTCATCCCCCCCCTTCTTCGTCCTCCACCAGTCCCCCTTCCGTTCCCGTCGCTGCATTAAAGTCCCCCCTATCATTACTATCTCCTCTCCCTTTCTCTCCATTTCTTTCTTGACCCTCTCCATTTTCCTGTCCATATCCCTATTTACATATACCTATACCTATTTACATATACCCTATTACTCTGCATGTTTCCTTCCTCAGTCTTATATTCCCCTCTATCCACCCCTCCGTCTCTTTTCCTTCCTTCTCGATTCCTTCCCACTCTTCGCCGTCGCTCAACTCCTTCCTTATTCCTATCAACATTCCTCCCTTCGCCCTCCCTTTCGTATAATCACTTGCGGCTAGTTGTACTTCCCACCAGTACCCGTCAGGCAGTCTCTTCTTCACCCTCTCCCAGCCTGCCTTTTCAGTCCAAGTCTCCATTAACACCAAAACGTCCCCCCTCCTCATCCTCTACCAAAAGTTTTTGTCTTTCCTTTCTAATCCCCTCACATTCCAAAAAACTATTCTCACTCCCTCCTTACTTCCCGTTTCAATCCTGCCCCCCCTTCCCAACTGACTATTTGATCCTCCCCCCCCCCTGGCTGCTCGATCAGTTGTCTCCATCTCTCTATTATCTACCTCCTCTGTCCTGTTACCCACCCTTCTCTGGCCCTCCCTTCTCACAACCTGCCATTCCTCACCCCTTTCATTCCATAGTTTCTCCGTTCTTTCATCGATAAGCCACCTCTCTCCATCAATCCACATCATTCCCTTTCCCACCCTTACTCTCCTCCCTTTCCTTCTTTCTATTCCTTCTACGCGCTCCAGTCTCCACTGCATCCTCCTTTTCATCCACGTTAGATCGTTATCCCCTCTGGCCTACCCCTCAGTTTCGCCCTACCTTCCATCACCTTCCTTTTCTGACTGGGGTCCTCCAGCTCTACCACTACTGTCCCCCTCCCTTGCCCATCCTTTCTCACCAGTTTTCTTATTCCCTTCACCCCCACCTCGACCTCCAACACCCCTGTCAGCAGTTCCACAACCTCCTGTCTTCCGTCCTCTTCTCCCAGTTTAATCTTTCTCACCACCAAATTCTTACTTCTCCTCTCCCTTTCCCTTTTTTTCTCCCACCATTCCAGTTCCCATAGTCTTTCCTTCAGTTTCTCATTTTCTCCGCACACCTGCCCCCCCACCTCTGCCCCCTTCTTCCTCTTTTCTCAACTGTAGTTCCCCCACCATTTTCTCCAGAGCTTCCACCTTCCTTGCTTTTCTTTCCAGCGCTTCCAACCTCTTCCTTACCTCCGCACCCTCCTCCTTATTTTCTCTCCTGACTTCCACCACTATCTCCCAGAATTCATTCATTCTCTCCCATAGAAATTTCTTTTCCTCTTCCCATCTGCCTTCCCACTTCTCCCATTTCTTATTCACTATTCTAATCTCCTCCCTGACCCCCCTCCCCTCCTTCTTCGGCTCGTGCAGCTTCGAGAACGTTTTCTCCTTAAAACTCTTGAGAAAACTCTCCATCCTTTCCACACTCTCCTAATATCCTCCTTTCCTTTCCACCCTTCTTGCTTTTCTCTCCTCCCCCTCCGCCCCGCTCTCTTCCAATCCCACCACCCTCTTACTACCTTCGCTATTCTCCGACCTGTTTCCCCTCCGGCCGTAACCCTCCCTTTCCTCCTTCTTCCATGCCTCCAGCGACGACAGAGATCTGGTTCTCCCCCCAATAACCCTACCAAGCCTCTCTAGCCTCTCCAAATTCGTGGGTCTCCCTCTCTTTTTCTTCCCCACCTCTGCCCCCCGCTCCCCTCTTTATCAGAAAGGTCCGACAACTCTATCGAAGACTCATACACGGTCTCATTTTGGCCTTCTCCACTATCCTGCTCATTCCCCTTCCCGCTCAAATCTTCCCTATCCTCCTCTCTCGCCCCTCCTTCGTCGTCACTACCCGTTCCCACCTTCCCTCTCGCCGGTATCTCCATCGACCTCGACGACACCACCACTGAGCGAAACAAATGACTCATTTTTCTTCCTTATCCTTCTCACCTGCTCTACCGACCTGTCCGAACGTTAATTGCCCTTATCACCGCTTCTCTCTATCTGTCGCTACCTTCCCCTTTCCACGTCCTGTCTCCCACCAAAACAACACCTATCCCCCTCCTCCCCTTCGCAACCAAGATCAACCTAGCTCTTTCTCCCCTGAAGCCACCCCTAAATATCCCTCCAATCTGTTGTATCACCGTTCACCACCCTCTCTCCCTTACACCAGTTCTCCCTACACCGCCCAAACCCCCGCGCTTTCTTCCTTTTCTCCCCCGTTCACTCCGTGCCAAGCTAACCTCCAACTCGCCCACCACACTTTTAACCCTTCTCCACCTCCTCACATTCCAAACACACCACTTTCACACCCCTTCACACACCACTGCTCCCTTCTTCCACCCGTTCCCGCCCTCTGCCCACCCACACAACCTCTAAACCTCTTCAAAAGAGCAAAAAACCCAAGCACTGTTTATACCTGCCACACTCTCCTCGCAGACCGGAAACGGAAGTTCTATGCTCATTTCTATTTTATATCATATTGTCAAATATTAGTCGGTTTCATAATAAATGAATGTTTATTACAGATTTTGTGGCGAAAAAGATAATAAAAAGAAATGCAAACAGGCGTGACGCCTCCGCGGAATAGGATTAAAGATAAAATGATAATAGTTTTTGCAATGCTAATTAATCTCAACTACCCTTTATGATTGATGCTATCCCTTTTAAAAAAATCCAGGTGTAACGAAAATTGTCATTGTTTTTCGCCGCATAACTTAACTTTTTTAATTAAAAATTTTTTTTTTCAAATATGTATATATATTACATATATGGAAAAAATATATATACAATAAAAAAAATTATTATTGAAAAAAATTTTAATTAAAAATTAAAAATTGAAAATTTATATATATATATATATATATATATATATATATATATATATATATATATATATATATATAT